CCACTATCCCCCCCCCCCCCCCCATCACGCTATTATTCCTATATTGACCTTTACCACACCTCCGGGCTGTTCTGACCACAGTTCTTTAAAAATCTGGGTAAAGGAAACCAAATGAAATGTCACCTGCCTCTGCAGAATACAGAGATTTGGACCCAAGGAGCCAATTGCCAGGCCCCATTGCTGACAGATGGCAGTGGGGCAGATGTATGCCTTCCAGTGAAATTTCTGGTGACATTACAGTGTAGGGCAGCAGAGGTGGTCTAATGTCCCATGAGTCATCATGTCCTATACACTGTGTATAGGATGTCAGGATGCCGAGGGACATACCATCGATGCAGCAGAAAAGGGACTGGTCCAAGAGAAAGCTGGCTCTGAGGAGCGGGTGAGTATAACCCTGGAGTTCTGCTTTAATGTCGACAAAAATCTAAATTCCAGAGAGAGCTGTGAAAATGCCAGCACAAGTTTACTATCATGGAAAATAATTTTTCATTTAAGCACTCTCAAATGTTCCCCTTGTCTTCCCCATCAAGTCCTGAAAAATCATATAAAAAAGTCCATGAAAAGTAACCCCTGAAATGAATGTACATAATATGTGGCCAATATCTTGTATCAAAAGATGTTAAGCAAGCTTTGTTTTGCTGTGCTTTCTTCTAACTAACCCATAGTGCTTCACGAATCCTCTGTCATGTATTGAATGTTTATTTGTAAAACAAAGATTATGTAAATAATGAAAATATATATATTTATAACCTATAAGCTTTTGTTCCATTGTGAATAAGGAAAACAGTATTTCATGAAAATGTCTGGAGTACAGAAGTGTCTGAGATGCTGCGAGTGCTACCTCTGACACCTATAATCATTCCATGGTTCATATAACGCACTCCCCCCATTCTAATATTTGACAATGATTTATGTATTGAGGTTCAGGCGCAAGATTTGCTGTTTACAACAACAATTAACAATCTGGTGTACCAAATCCTACTTGTTTTTTCTCTTTAGTTAACCCCTCCAATAGTATTTTATCATAGAATGCTTCTGAAAAAGGGTAGTAAATAGGAATGCTTACTTTGTTGGCTTTAACATCATCTATGGCAGATATGAGCAGTGCATAGATGTGACCTAAAAGTATTGTGGGAGATATTAGATAAGATTTTTATATAATGGGATGGACAATTTGGCTGGGGGACAGTTTTGCTAGACAGAAGGGACTCAGGTGAGGCTGGAGGAGCATAGAGGTGGTGATCAGAGAGTAGCTATAGTTTGTATTGTATATTATTTGTCTTACATATGTTAGGCCCTGGTTGTAAGATGATGATTCAGTATTTGTTATGTAATGTAATTGTGTCATTCAACATTTTTTGTGCATGCATGTCTCTGTGTACGATATAATATTTACTCAACTGTTGTTGCCTTACTTTGTTGCTGACAACCACCTTACGAAGAGTATTTTTGTTATTGAATTAATAATTATATAAATACAGTAAACTCTCTGTATTATCTGGTATTCAACTAACCAGAACTCTCATCTAACCAGAAAAAAAATCCACTGTGTTCTACTGTTCTGCTAATCTGCGGCATGTATTATCCTGGAAATGATCGGGTGCTTATTTGTCTTTATTTGTTTTAAATGTGTCTATTTGTCTTAATTTGCTTTTAATTACTGCATTTCAATATTATTATGAAGTCAATACAGAGTTTATGTTGTGGTATGGTATAGAATGGAGTATGGCATTAGTTAGACCTATTTTAATAGTAACTCTCAAGCATATATATATA